TGTCTTTGAACCATTGCAGAGAATAGCTTGCTTTCTGAATTGGTCTAATAAAAGATACCAGATTCACCCAAAGAACCTTGCTTGCTTTCTAAGAGTACTTTAGTTTTAAAATAAAATTAATGCCCCTGAACTGCATTTTTAAAGGTTCTGATGTGATGCGCATATGAAAATAATATTAATATTGACTAGTTGAGAGGCTGTCTTTAAAGTGGTTGAAGAGAAGTCTGCAGTTCAGTTCAAAGGGAAATTCTGATATTGTTCCCATGATACATTAATGTCTCAAAATAAGACGTACTAGAAGCAGTACAAGAAAGGGAAACAAACCAGTGTTGTTAGAGTTATTTCTAGCTGTAGTACAGTATAAAGGAAGAAAAATAATTCAGAATAAATGTGGGAGATGTAATTTTTTCATTGTTTGTGTTTTGGCCATTGTCACTGAGTTTCTTTGGCTGACACAGGTTATACCAACTTGCTTTCTCATCTCCTGGAAATGTCTAGTGTGACTAATCATTCAATCCAGTCAGTTAAATCAGTAGATGTAGTTTTCCCAGGCTTTGTAACATAGCTTTTTATAGAGAGTATTAAGTATTTAAACACTTGCCATTACAAGAGTAATCTATAATTACTGCTTATGTAGGTCCGCCTTTGTGATGAGCAATGAGATTTTATTTAGATGGGCTTCCAAAGGCACTCCTCTTTTTTTTTTAAACACATGTATATTCAGGATCACTTTTTCCCTATTGTTTTTGGTTCTCTTGCCATATTAAACTGGAAATGCTTCTAGATAAAAGTTCAGTGTCATGTTGTGTGTGTGTGTGTGTCACCAGCAAGGGAGTATCACGTTTTCAGTCCAGTAGGTCTAACGTAATTATTGCATCCGCTCACTATATGTTTTCTTATGGTCCCATTGCAGTGTAGAGTTTCTATGCCACCAATATCAAGTTCAGAAGAAATTTAGTTCAGTAGGTCACTAATTCATGTATTGCAAGGCTTTCCTTTGGCCCCCTTAGTAATATGAATTTCGGAGGAGTCTGCAAAACTTGGTGATGTCAAATTAGAAACAAATTGAAGCATAAATGTGAAAAGATGGACGGGGGTACAGGCTATATTCCTATTTTGTTTTCTTTTCCTTCATTTCACCTTGAAGGTTTCTCTATCTAATATTGTTGGTTGCTTTCAGTGCCTTGAGTTCTCCCTTTCCTTGCTCTGGCAGAGCATTGTGTTGTCTCGCACATTGGGGTCTGCTGGCTCTCTTACTGCTATTTCAGGAAATATTAGTTCATGACAAAAGCGCAGAAGATTCAAGTTGAACCTTTATTGCTTCAAAAATGTGGTTGTTAAACAACTTTGGCCTTAATGTATTGATAACCCAATACTGTTTTGCACTATTTATTATGAAGAATGTCCATATTTGTCTTCCTTCAAATATAGGAACTTGAGAAGTGTGATGCCAACCACTACATCATTTTGTTCCGTGATGCTGGTTGCCAGTTTAGAGCACTTTATTGCTACTACCCTGACACAGAAGAAATCTATAAGCTGACTGGAACAGGGCCAAAGAGCATCACCAAGAAAATGATCGACAAGCTTTACAAATACAGTTCAGACAGAAAACAGTTTAACGTGATTCCAGCCAAAACCATGTCCGTCAGCGTGGATGCTCTCACAATCCATAACCATTTGTGGCAAGCCAAGCGACCTGCAGTGCCAAAGAAGACTCAGACTCGGAAATGACACTGAGTTCTTGGGGAGAAGAATGGGATTGTGTAGAAAGAAGAAATGTTTACCATTTTGCTCCAGTTTGGTATGAAATGTGCAGAACCATAACCAGTTTTTTTAAGAAGCTTCTAAACAAAATCCGTGGATGCAAGTAAATAAGAATGAAGGAACAATGCCAGTGTTTTTGGAGAGCGATGAATCTGCTGTTACACCCGGCGCTAACTACTGAGGCTTTCAAATGAGGGACAGTGCATGTAGCAAGATCTATAACAAGTGGATTTCCTTTTACTTGAAGTTTGCATTGGTACAAATTGGGAATAATTAAGTTTTGTTTCCTCTCCATCTCATTCCTTCTTCTTTCCCTGTCGCTTTTAAAGTTGGCAAGCGCTGAACTTCAGTAGAAGCATTGAACAGATCTTGGGTGATGACTTTTTTTTTTTTTCTTTTGGAAAAAAAATAGTCTTTAGGGGGAAAAATGTCCTTTTGAGACTTTTTTTGAGGAGCTGTATAATATATCATATTGTTGTACTGTATCTACTGCCAACGTTAAGTCCAGCTCTCAGATTTCCGAAAAACCCCAGCCTGTGCTGCTCCGAACAAGGTTTACTTGTAGTATCGGTTCACTGCAAAAATTGCAGTGTCTTTTATAGAAAAAAAAAAAATTAATAATGGTGAATTTAAAGATGAATATTTCTGAAACACAATCATGAAGAGGCATACAGGTGCTACTAGCTGGAATATGCCTGGTCTAAACTTGAGGCAAGCTGAATGGAGCACAGTTATCATTGATTTCAGTTCAGGTAGTGTCCCGAGGATGTTTTGCTTTAATAAAGACAGATTCTGGTAGATGTAGAACATTTCCACTCTGAGCACGTTACTCCTGTACGATGGTGCACTTAATGATCACAAATTTTAATGTTTTTATTCTGTCATGAAATGTAATTCTACTTCCTTTGTCCTGTCTTTATTCTGAATGAGCAGCATGCTCTAAAATGGAGAGTGTTTGGGTTTTTTGGTTGGTTTTTTTTTTTAAATTTTGGGGTGATTATATTAATATATACATTGATTTGTTTTTCTCATTTAAAAGCAATTTTTAAACAAAAATTTGCATTCGTTTCAAAAGCCCAAAAAAAGTCGAATGGCTTTGATTTCTTTTCATGTTGAAATATTAAATCTTGAGTTATGACCTGAAAATCTGTGTGTGTTTCAGCAGATCAGATTTTTTATTTCCAGGGCAGCAGGGTTTATTATATTTGCAGTTCTTGTCCATTCTTTCATGTGACTCTTCCCCTTTTCCCCCTGCTTTAAAGTAACTCTAATTCGCTAACTACAGTGCAACTTCTCTGTCAGTATGGTCCGGCTACATCTTTTTTTGACACTACTACCTGAGGGTTTTGTAGGTTTATATCTTTGGTTTGCACATGTTTACTTTTATTTGAAGTGTTACTTGAATATGTATCTCGCAGTGCCCAAGGCACCACACCGATTCTAGAGAGAAACTGAAGCGCTGAAGTACGAGACAGTGTAATTATTCAAATTTAAAAATAATGGGAGTTGAAAAGTGAGTTTTGTACAGAAGGGGGAAATAGGGTACATAATAAAATGTTCAATAGAGGAAAGTGAAGGTCTTCCATTGCAATCTTCTCAGTTCTTTCCCCTTTTGGATACTTTTTAAATAGGCTGCTGCGACATATTGTACATTTTGTTAGATAGCTGGCTGCCTGTAAATAACTAAAGGCTTTATGATTTCTAAAGTGCTAAGTATTAAACGCCGTCATGAGTGTAATTTTTCTGTTATCATGCTTTCCATGCTTGTGCTTTATTTCACACTGTTTGATATTATATACCATATTTATTTTATCAAAGCACTGAAATTTAATAAAAATCATTAACTGATTTCCTTTTTTTATTCCATGTGTAATTTTGTTATTTTGACCCATCATCTTGTCAAAAGAACTAATTGTATGCTTTAAAGATGTGCTATTCTACTCGCTTGTAGGCAAAGGTTCCTAATAGACTTACTTATATTTGTTTAATAAATTATTAGATAAGTGCTTTTAAACTGCTAGAATTTGAGCAAAATAAGAGGAGAGTTCAGCAAACCCAACAGCATTTTTCCCCCCAATTTCTTCTTTGACATATTTCATTTAAATCCGTTAAGGTGGTTAAGTGTCCTGTCATCATTTTACTTAGAAAACTGAAGCAGATTCTAGTTTTACAATGAGTCGATGTAGAACTAGGAGTGGATCCACAGATTTCCGACTCAGTTTTGATGCCTGGCTACAGGATTTTGTTGAATCCTCAGATTTAAATTAGTTAGGAATTTTTTTTCCCCCCTCCTTGATACAGAATTTTAAAATTGCACTTTAGCATTGCCCTGTGTGTTTGAATTATGGCACTGGTTATGGTGCATGCACTTAATGCATTGATTTACTTGGAGACTATACAGTAAGTATACCATAAGTCTTCCCCCTAATACTGTTATCAAACTAATTCAAACTCTTGTGCTTTGAAGTAGTTCTTTTTAAGATGGACAGTTTTTCCCCTTTCTTTGTACCTGAAAGTCTTTTTCCCAAAGGCAAAAGGCAGATCTCCTTTGGATGATTCCTTGACGGACAGTCCACCTCCAAAACAGGTGCTGCATCCCTAATGTTCTCGCGGAGGCTGAAACTTTGCTGCCCATGGTAAAGAGAGCTTCTGCCACCCCATTTTATGCACCACATCATAAATTTTGGCCACATCCCTTGAGACAACACAAAATCAGAATCTCTGTTTCTGCTAACACTTCCGGTGTATAAGAAATGTCCCCAAATGACCATTGTTTCTGACTGTTGTTACAAAGACGCCTACTCCATCAGCAGAATTGACCTGGGGAGGTCAGGAAGGAAAGAGCACTAGGTCCAAGTCTGCAGATCAGAGGTGGTGAAATGTGCAGGCCCATCTGTGGGAGTGCAAGGAGTAGGAAAAATTGGAAATGTGTACAGGCAACCTGGGATCCTATATGGGGCGAAAGAGAAGAATGTCATTTTTCTAAACTGCATTTTAAACGCACTGTTACCTCTGGGAATAGATAATTATTTGAATTTTTCCCCCCTGAAAATTTCATTTTAAAATTGGCCTTAAACATCTTTGTACATCAGGGTGGTCTTTGCTCAACGTTCGGCATTTTATACACCTACCCTCTGAATAACCAATTGGCAAAAAGCCACACCCCCCCCCCCCCCCCAAAAAAAAAAAAACCCCACCTGTACCAAAAGAAGAGAAATGAAAATCTTAAACAACAAAAACCCCAAAGAAAATGCTTAGGCATCCTTTAGAGGTTCTGATCATATTTTAATTCAAGTTGAAAAGATGCCACTGAGATTGCCTTTTGGGGTGAAAAAATGCAAAAAAGATCAATACGCTTTGGCATTTAGTCTTGCACTTTTGTAAAGAAGAGAAACGTACATCTTTAAAGTGTCAACTCTTCATGCCGTAATTTTTTTTTCAAACTTTTTTACTTTAGTATATTCTGTATTTATGTGCAATGTGTTCCATCTGTAGTTGGCATATCTTTGGATGTCTGTTTTTATAATATCTCCAGTGGAATAAAAACTTAGTGTAGAAAAATGGTGGTGATGAAAATACTGGCTTATTTTGAGCAGATCAACATATAATCCGTTCAAGCTCTGCACTAGGCTGTTAGCAGAGTAGGGAAGGGTGCTAGCTGGAGGTCCAGAATAAATTGATTTTTTTTTCCTTTTACGTCAAGGAACCAAGAGCAGACTTCTCAGACTATGAGGAGTTCTCATCCCCTGGAGGTGGTAATTCCAGAATAGAAATTAAAACAAGTTTGTTTTACTTCACAGTGATTTTTCATTTTCATAATCTCAGGTTTTTGTACCCATCCAAGTATCCATTTGGTAACTGGTAACCTGTAAGATGAGTAATGTTCATTTAAAAAATCTGCACCTCCTTTTATTTAAAACACTATCTTCAAGGATGAGATCATATTGTACCTATTAGGCACCTAAGCACAATCTTGTAACATCCTGTTTGAGTTCCTGAAAAACCCTGAATACAGAATGCCATTGTCCTCACTGCTTTTTGAGACCTCATTTAAAGGCTGGGATGACAGTATAGGAAAAACGTAGACACGTTCAGGGAATTTTAGGGACTCAATTAGGGTGGAGGTACCTAAATCCAGAGTGGGATATGGCCCCAAATGTCTACGGGGTGCCCTAGTCCTGGGACCAAACGCAGTACTTTACAGGTTGGTCTCATATCGGAAAATTCCCTCTTAATCCCATGGCTTTAGTATTGGGCTCCTGATCAACCATATGATTTAACAGCCTTGAACAATTAAAAACTGTAATGCTGCAAGTCTAGTGAGATAAGATGTGTATATAAATGATACAGTTGAAGCTGAGGGTGGTGAAGAGTGAGAGCTGCTCAAAGCACTGTTCCTGTAACTAAACTTCATTTTACAGTTAGGATTAAGATCAATAAGTACATTTTATAAGACTTAAAGGTAGAGAACAATGCCTTAAAAAAGGCTGAAATGCTTTGTCTACTGATATCAAGATCTAGTCATTAGATGTGTAGCATTAATTCAAAATCTCCTTTAAAGGATTTGTTTAGAGGTCATCATTTCTTCGTTTTGCTGCCTTATTGTGTATGGGGGTGGGGGGAATTTAATACAAACATGTATTTTATGCACTTGGTGTAAGAACAGTGTGGACTAACCATAAATGTCCTTGCTGAACCAAGGACTGCATTAGAAAGGACAATACATCTGTCCTAATGTATCGAGAAGAGTCCAGATTTGTTTTGCATCAAAAGCAAAAATTATCTCAATATTCAACTGCTTTTCTAAGCTACTGTATACTTTGGTTCAATATGCATAGACTGAATCTTAAATATGAAAAATGGTTAATAAACCACTGATGCCAGATGAATCTTTTTCACGTCATGCATTCCTAAAAATGTTTTGAGAATAGTGCTTGTGGTTTTGGTTTTAATAATGTATGCCATGAAATGGTTAAATATTACTGACTGTGTGGCGAAGCCTTGGAGATAGTATGCAGATACACGCTACTGGTCATCCAAATGACTGCATTCTTAGCCCACCGCTGCGATTCACAGAGGAAACACATGAAGACAATCTAACAGGTCTTGACTTGTCTTTTGACAGAAGAACCCCACATGCATGGTTATATTCCTTTACCCACCCACAGGCTGTCATGCAAAAATTACTAGGGTTGGGAAGAGCAAAAGTTGACCACCTTTTTGGATCAAAAGAAGGTACCGTAATCATGAAACGTAAGTACATTCCTTATGCTGCACTTAAAATGTTGCACCGTTAAAATGACTTGCAAACAATGGATTATCGGGCTCTAGATACTGATAAAATATTGGGGTAGTTACCTGTGAATTGAATCTCAGCCGCAATTGCATAATGAATTGAGGGTAGCGAGTTAAGTATATTTATATATGTAGTTCTTTGGAGTCCATCATTCAGTTCTTTACTATGGAGGGTTTGCATTTGTTTAGTTATCAGCTACATTTTTTTTTACTCTTTAAAATCCAAGTGTTACAAGAATTCTGTTAGTGTCTGCTCCATTTTAGTTAACCGAGATTGAAAATGATTTAGAACAAAGGAAAAGCTATCAGCAAGACTTACCCTAACACTAGGTATGTATACAGAACAAATTTAATACAAGGGTGGCTTAATTAAAAAAAAACCCAAAGCAAAACAAAACACTTGTTTAAGCATGTGGGGTTTGTGATTTTTGCAGTTACGTTTGAGCTCGTCTTGATTTGTGGATTAATGAGGATTTCAAGTTTCCAGTGTGTGCATGAAAAAGAGTATTTCTGCTCCTCTATCCCAACTGGTATGTTTAAGAGGGTTACTACTTTATTACGATGCTTTAAAAAAGGCTGACATTAAAAAGAAAAGTGTGTGCTGCATGTGTAATGTTTGAACATCTCCCCAAGAAAGTATGAACTTAAATTGAAACCTAAGTGTAAAAAGTCAGGTTGACTAATGATTATCCAGTTTAGTTTAGTTTAATCAGTGATAAAGTGAGATGTTCTCCTTAGTCCTAATTTAAAAAAAAAGTCAAGGTTACAAAACACTCTGCATATTTTTGGACCGAATTTTTTTGTAAGTGAACCTTAATTACAAAAAGTAATCAAATATGTTATAGTAGTATTCTGTTTTTAAAAGTCTGTACTAGGCATTTAACCTACTCATCTCAGTTCATTTTAGTAGTCTAGTTTTGAATATAATTCTTACCGGTATCCTGTCTTTAAAACTGCTCAGAAGAACCCCACTGAATTCAGCATATTTTATTCAACTTATTCCCAATGATCAAGTTACTGATTTAAGTGTATACTATGTGTATATTCATACTATATATTGTGCATGCCTCTTAAACATTCCCTTTATTGCTACTTGGTGCTAAAATCAGTACCACAATTTTTTTTATTGTCAAGGAAAGTTTTTTTTTTTTTTTTTAATTTTTTAAAATAACACACAATATTTTAAAATCAAATTAGGACTTCCTCAGTTTCATAATTTGCAAGAGGAAAATCCCTGGAATATATGAACCAAAATGGTATAATTGGTCTTTGAGTAATCAATATATTTTTTTTCATTTCTATTTCCTAGATTTTCCAGAAGGTCTGATCTCTGTTATATTTGTTGTAACGAAGATTGGAGTTCTCAACTCAACGGTCTTCAACAGCCCAAGCTTGAAATCTGTCACCAGTTTAGCGCTAGCAAACAGCGGCATCACAAAAATTGAACCTGGAGCCTTTTATGCTTTCCAAAGCCTCACCAAACTCAGTTTATATCAAAATAATCTGACTACAATTATGGCTTCTTGGCTTTCCAAGCCAGAGCACTTAGAAAATCTTACCCTGTCTCAGAACATCATTCAGGGAATAGGGCCCTCTATGCTGTCCCATTTCTCTAACCTGACAACGCTTCATTTGGCAAACAATAGAATTAATATGATTGCAATTGGCAGTTTAAAGCATTTGTCTAAACTAACCTATATAGATTTATCTGGTAATAACTTATCTACCTTAACAAGAAATGTGTTCATTGGGTTGAGGCCTCCAAGAATGAAATTGGGTGACAATCCGTGGAATTGTTCCTGCGAACTTCAAGATTTTGGATTCTTTTTGCAAGGTAACGTATGACATAATTTCTGTTTCCTACAGTGCTTGGGTAGCAGCAAATAGGTTCCAGTTAGTGGAAGTAACTGGAAGTCTGTCGGCAAAGAGTCACTGGTAATAGACCTGGGAAACCTCTTGGAGGTACTCCAGAACGGATGGTAAAAATTGGGGTGCGCAGAATTTTAAATCATTTATAATAATTTGTTAAATAATCCTGTATGCTACCACTAGATGTTACCTTCACTGAATTATTATTTATGGTACCCAGTATCAACGTTGGGGCTACATTATGTTGGGCATTGCATTGTAGATCACAGTCCATAGATATACATGTTACCTGAGGCAAGATTTATTTTGAAGAGTGGGAGTAATTTTTCCATGATCCAAGTTTGTACTGTGGAAGCATAATATTTGAGAGAGAATCTGAACTATTTTGGGTTGATAAGTATATTTTCAGATTGGAGGAGTTATGCACAACTGTGGTATTATAATAGTTCGTCAGCATAAAAAAGAAGAGACGAGGTATTTTTGATCCATAATGAAACGTGAATGAACTGATTTGTGTGTGTTTGTGTAAATTAATTTACCACGTTTAAAAGATTATTTTTCTTTCACTTAATCTATAAATCATTGTAGATCAAAAGATTGATGACTTCAGTTCACCGGCCAAAACCAGTGCTTAAATATTGGAATGGAATAGTTCACGGAAATAAACCCTGTGTTCTGTCAGTTAAGTTAAATGATGTCTAGTACAAATGGAAAATGTCAAATGGGCAAAACCAGAAAGATTTTATTTTTAGTACAGTAACTTGAAAAGACGGGGATAAACAGGTCATCTAGCTATCGTCCTCATCCACCGGTATATTTGAGAATAAAATCGGAGGCCAAAACATTAACATTTCAGTATATAAAGTCAGATACTTCCATCAAATTTAGCCCCTTCAAGCGGGCTGATTTTTTTCCCAAGGTATTGAGCCACCTGCACATTTCACTTGACGGCAGTGGGAGAGTATTAAGAGTTCACAGTGGTGAGGTTGCCTTAGATAAGTTGTGTGCTATTTGTTTTTACAGAGCTGATGAATGCCTCTCTGCTGGAAGATGCTTCATCCGTGACATGCCAAAGCCCAGCAGGCATGAAAGGGGTTTCAGTTTGGAACATATCTGACTTTGACTGCTCACCTGAGCTCCCATCACCATTCCTTACAAGCATCTTCCATAAAGTTGGATTGCCTCTGGTGCTTATGTGTTTAGGTATGTTTCCATGCGTTTTCCTGTACTTGATGTTATATTATTAAGTGGAATTAAGATGAGATGCTGTGCAAACCTTCTTCCACATCAAAGTAGGGGTTATTTGGACGTACTAGGTGCCTCATTGCTTTGTTCTGTGGCATGCTCCTTCAAGAGCACTGAAACTCGTTACGGATGCATTGCAGAAGCAATTGCAGGTGCAGTTTCTTTGCTTGTGGGATTTAAAAGTAAATACAGTTTTCTGAGCAGATACGTTGGAAGTATCTGAGCACTAAATGCTAGTATGTACGCTACTAATATACATACAAAGATACTTAAAAGGTCAGCTCATCAGCTGAGCCATTGATATTGCAGAGCTACATAGGCAGTTTCAGTGACACTGAGAGATGTTCACGGTATCCCCTAAAGAGCTCGTGATCCCAGAGATGGGCTGGGGGAAGCTTTGCAAAAAGGCTTGTGCTACAAAGGCAACTTATTATTTTGAATGTCTTACGAAATGCGTGCAGATAGCCCATGTGGAAGACAGGCTTGAGGAGGAGGTATGCACAAGATCAGAATCTTCCACATTAATAAATAATTTTGTTGGGGGGGAATATAAAAAAAACAACAAAACAACCAACCCCAAACCTGACCCTTCAGGGCAAGAACTTGGGAGAAAATTCTCCTTTTTTATTAAAACCCTTGTTTGTGCAATAAAAATGGAATAGCACCATACTCCATT